ACTGCTTTAAGGAGAGGAGAAAGAAAGACAAAATAAACCAGTGTTTATTTTTTAAATTTTATTTTATTCATTTGAGAGAGAGAGAGAGAGCGAGCACAAGCGGGGTCAGAGGGAGAGGCAGAGGGAGAAGCAGACTCCCCGCTGAGCAGGGAGCCTGACATGAGTCTTGGTCCCAGGACCTGGAGATCATGACCCGAGCCAAAGGCAGACGCCTAACCATCTGAGCCACCCAGGCGCCCCTAAACCAGTGTTTAAAGACAGCCAGTGGGAAATTGAGAGATGGCGAAGCTCATGGAGTATATTTTGTGAGCTCCATGAGGACTCATGAGATCAATTTAAAGAATATATGACAATGAAGAAGAACTTGAGATAATGAGAGGGGACAGGAGAGGTGGGAGTTGGCGGGAGAACGGTGTTGAGAATGTTACCAGGGTTACGATGAAAAGAGTTCGGGACACTGTGAACTACTGACCCCACTGAACCGTACACGAAAATGTAAATTTTAGGGGCACCTGGGTGGCTCAGTCGGTTAAGCGTCTGCCTTTGGCTCAGGTCATGATCCCAGGGTCCTGGGATAGAACCCCGCATCGGGCTCCCTGCTCAGCGGGAAGCCTGCTTTTCCCTCTCCCCACCCTGCTCATGCTCTCTCTCAAATAAATAAATAAAATCTTAAAAGAAAACAAAAATGTGAATTTTATGTTATGTGTGTTTTATCACAATTTAAAAAAATTACTGGGCAGCGTGTCCCCCATGAGAACGTTTAGGGGTCTGCCGCCCTACCAGCCCCTAAGTAGTTAACCACCCCTTCCTATCAGGAAGTGCAGAAGCCGGAGACAGATTTCAGGTCCAGGACCTGCTTTAGCAATGGTTAAGTGGGTGTCAGAGGGATGGTTGTGGTGGTACTAGTGGCGGAATTAGCAGAAAGCTGTGGGAAATTGGTAGGTTTTGACGGGGCAGGGCTGCCGTGGAGGAGGGAAACAGGGGCCGTGCAGGAGAGGGCATAAAGCTGGCCTGCAGGGGTGTCCTGCCCTCCCTTTTCTAAGAGTCTTACAGGCACTGCGAGGGGGAAACCTGAATCTGCAAGGCTCACACACACAGCGGCTCTCTCCGGTTTCCCGACTTTGGAGACAGCAGGTGGTGCTGTTGAGTAAACTTGGGAGCGCAGAAGAGGAAACCTGAACTTTGAACTTGAGAAGTAGGGCATCTCTATCCTGGTAACTCTCTCCCTTCCAGCGGCCAGAGCAGAGGAGGGTGTGGGAGATGGGGATCATCTTCCTCTTCGAGCTCTTTAGGGCTCTTCAGCTCGCCCCGGGAGGAGGGAGGGCTGGGATCTGTTCTCTTGCGTGGTTCCCACGTGCGCTGGTATCCCAAATGTCTTTGGAATGCCGCTCAGGTGAAATCCTGGGTGGTGGCCACCAGCAGTTTGGGAGGGGTAAAGAAATCTGGAGGCATCCTTACACACCCCTCCATCAGCCGGGCTGACTCACCCTGGACCCAGCTCAGGGTGGCTTCCCTGGCTTTGCCTGCTCCTTTTAAACTCCTGGGAGTGCCCCCTCCCCACTCCCCTTAGAAAGTTCAAACTGCTCTGAGGAGTCTGGAACTCCGCAGTCAAACAGACCAAAGGCTCGGGAAACCTCTCTTTCCTTCTAGTTTTAAATCTGGGGCTCTTATCCAGTGAGCTCAGGTTCCAGAAAGCATCCATGGGGACTAGTTGGGGAACTGGGTACTTTGCACTCGGTTAGGGCATTGGATGAGGTAGGTCTCCTCCTATCCAGTGAATCTGGATTTGATTGCGTCGCTGGGCTTTGTCCCCAACAATGATAGGATTCTGGGGAATGCAAACACAACACTGGTTTGACAGCTTCAGCAAGTTTTAAGCCGAACACGCCAAAGGCCAGTGAGCCTTTGGAACCCCACGCTTGCCAGCCTCACTCTCGACACGCATTTATGTCCCTATTCCTGCTTCTCCTCTGCCTCACCTTCCTCGGGGTGTTCTAATTTATGCTGTTTGAATTCACTTACGTGATTTTGTAAACAGTCTTAAATCCTTTTTGAGACAGGGCAGGGTACAAATAAAAAGAAAGAAAAACACGACGCGGAAAGGTCAGATGTTTTGATATTGGCTAAACCTTGTGCTAATGTGAGAAAATGACTTACACCCCTTAGTGACCGTAACATCCACAATCTTCCACAACTCACAGTAGAGAAAGGCTGTCTCCTCATCGAAAGAGGTGACAGGACCGCAGACTTGACTTTTGACTCCTGGCATTCCCAGGGTGCCTCCCCCCCCCCCCCGGTTCTAGGGTCCCTGCTGTTACCGCCAAGCATTAGGGCGGGGTGAGGGCTGGGGACGCTGTGCCCCTTTAACCATTTGCTACTGTGGACTCATGACCTTTCCCTAATGCTCCCTGCAGCGCTCTAAACTCACAAGACCGGCACATTTGAAATGACTTCTAAAAAGACTATTAGATGAGCAAAACGTAAGCAGAAAATAACATGAAACTAGGTCATCTAAGCGAGAGCTCCTGATATTTTATTTTCCATTACGCACCACTGTGGTGACTTCCACATTCATATGAAAGCCGATCAGGCTGTTGGTCATATGTTTTTGTTTTTTAAGATTTTACTTATTTATTGGGGGGGGGAGCACGGAGGGAGAGTGAAAGGGAGAAGCAGGCTCCCCGCTGAGCAGGGAGCCCGAAGCGAGGCTTGATCCCAGGACCCTGAGATCTTGACTTGAGCAGAAGGCAGGCGCTTAACCAACTGAGCCACCCAGGTGCCCCTGGTTATCATATTCTTACACTAGCTACAAATCTAAACAATTCTCAAAGTGCAGGACCTCGTGTTCCCCTTCCTCAGCAGGGTGGTCCTTCAAGTACCCCTTTCTAGAGCAACTTTCAAACGAGATGATGCTTCATAACTCCAGCACCAACGTTGGATTTCAGTTTTAAGTCACACATTCCCCTCCCCAGCCCCCCTGCAATCTTAGAAGATGAATGTAGCCATACGCAATACTTAGAAGTATTTCCTGCTTTCTCTGAGGTATTTCAAAGGTTTGTGGTCGGAGGCATATAAGTGTTGAAAAGCCGTTTTTTACCATCAAATTGGATTTCAATGGATCTTGGAGATATAAGAGACCAGAGAGACCATTTATTGCCATTCGTGCAGAGTATTCAGGCTGGAAGTGATTAAATGACTTGCTGACGGTCCCAGAGCTGAAGAGCATAAACTAAGATTTATGCCTATTGATACCCAGACCATTCTTTTCCTCACTGCGCTACCCAGCTTGGCCTCTTGCACATCTAAATAGGAGTATAATCGTGACCAGGACTTTCTTTACAGAAGTAGATATACATAGACGCAAACACACACACACACACACACACACACACGTAAGGTAATAGAATTAGGAATTAAAGTAACAGAGGAATGATTATTTGTGTTGTGTGCACAATTTTAGCTGTTTGTGATGAGTGTCTTAAGGTATGCACAGATGCAAATCTGGACTCCCAATAAATGGAATGAATGAATGAGTCCGAGGGAGAAAAAAATTTTAATTTTATCCATTGAATGCAGAACTCTAGGGCAAACGATGAAATTTAGGCAAGGCCCTACCCTCTAGAAGTTCATGATGGGTAGACATAGGCTTAAATAATTCTAATATAAAGCTGACTTTGCTCATCACTGTCACAATTTAGTAAGGAGTTTAGGATCACTATATGCGAAAAAAATAGTAACACAAACGGGGAAACTTACCAGTAAGTACAAGCAAATCACGTGTGTTCGGGTATGTCAAGGTGTGTATATACACATGTACAGATACGTAGCAGCTGCCCATTCACATAATGTGATTTTTCAGTGTATTGTAAGTATCCAGTAAGCAAGGATGATGTCATTTGAGATGAATTCTTGTACAGCTTCTGCTCAGCTTTATGCGCACAAAGATACGTCATGGTGTGTCTCTTATCTTTTGGTTTGGTTCTAGGTCTGATGAAGAAAATACACTTATATTTCCAGGCCAGACTTCTCCTCTGAGCTCCAGACTCCGATTTCCAACAGTCTGTTTGCCATCCTCTTGGGGTGTGTCAAAAGTATCCAAAGTTCAACGTGTCCAAAATAGCCCCTGATCCCTCTTCCAGGATTCCCTATCTCAGTCAATGGCATCATTGTCCGCACAGTTATGCAAGCCAGAAAACTGGAGCCGGAACGTAATCTCCCTAAGGGCAGGGACCCGGCCTGTCTTGTTTTCCACTGTGTCTTCACGACCTAGAACAGTGCATGGCACAGAGAGGGTACTGATTATGTCCTGTGGAATGACTGTCTGCAATCTCTGGATTGCATTCATTTTCCTTCATCTCCACCATTACTGTTCAGTCCGGCCACCATAACCTCTCACTGGCACAACTGCCATAGCCTTCTGACTAATCTCCCTTCATCCATGCTCAGCCCTATTTCTATATATCTTCCACGGTGGCCAGTGATCTTTTCAAAACAAATCTGAATCTGAGACAAGTGCTCTTGCCGTAGCCTCTGAGGTCATACATGGTCTGTATCCTATGACTCTTGCAGCCTCGTCTCAAATCATGATCACCTTGGCTCTTTAGATTTCAGCCAGGTAGGCTTTTTTACAATGCCTATGATCACTTGTTCTGTCCTGCCACAGGGCCTTTGCACATATTGCTTTCTCTGCTGGAACCATTCTTCTCCTCTCCACCCACTTAATTTCTACTCATCCTCCTGATGTCACTCTCAGAGCTTAGAGTACTAGTTCCTGTAGGTCCTGATGTCAAATGTATTTGACAGAAAAGTCATAGTCAAAATAACTTGAAAGATACTGAAAAGAGATAGCTCCGTAGCACTTGTCATGGTTTTTTATATTTGTTTTTATAATTATTTTCTGCATGAAGCTTCACAACTTGTAAGATGTTTTAGTCTGTCTTCCTATATGAAGTCAAGGACCTAGTCAAGGACCATTAAAACATAAGTCATCATCTCTCTCTTCATGTGTTTTTGGAAATTACCATCGAATATATTTACCTGTATTCTTTTTTTTTTCTATCAGATATCAACCCTCCAAAGATTACTAATGTTTGATAAAAATCTCCCAGGATGCTATCATCTCAGCGAGGTCCTCCTTGGTTCATGAATGCCTTCGGGGATGGTTTAAGTGTAGTTTAGCCTGGAGATAGATTATCGACCTTTAGAAGATACTGCCTTTGCCTGTGATATCAGGATTCAATAAAGTCAAGCAAAGAAGGGCTTATCCAGGTTATCTTCTCCAATATATATCTTCTCTTTTCTTGAAAGTTCCCCAAATGGGTAAGTTGATGGAATCATATATTAAGATGGTTAGAATCACTCAGGCAGACTAGGTGTTTCAAACAGACCCTGTAAATATAGGCACTTATTACATGATAAGGAAGGATTATAAATCCAATTAGGGAAGGGTCAGTTTATTCAACAAATTATCTTTTAATATTTAATTAGCAGTTCATGGGAAAAAGTAAAATTTATCTTTAAACCATGAGTCATGTACCAGTATAAGTTTCAGAAAGATTAACATGCTAAATGGCAAAAATTCAAGCCAAAAAAGGCTATATGAAAACATAAGTGAACATTTATCTCATATCCACAGGGAGGAAGGCATTCTCAGCTTAAGGGCAATGGAAAACATTATTCCCACCCCCCCAAAAGAAAATGACCACATAAAAATGAAAAATTAATGACCAAGTTAAAAGGTAAACAACAAAATGGAGGAAAAATAGATGATCAGAAACTACAAAAGGTTGGGGCGCCTGGGTGGCTCAGTTGGTTAAGCGACTGCCTTCGGCTCAGGTCATGATCCTGGAGTCCCGGGATCGAGTCCCACATCGGGCTCCCTGCTCAGCAGGGAGTCTGCTTCTCCCTCTGACCCTCTTCCCTCTCATGCTCTCTGTCTCTCATTCTCTCTCTCTCTCAAATAAATAAATAAAATCTTAAAAAAAAAAAAAGAAACTACAAAAGGTCAATGTCTGTATTACATAAGGATGTTTATAAATTTGTAAACAAGTGCTAAGACTCAGTGAAGAAATTGGTCAAAGGATAGGAACAGACACTTCACATGTAAAATATAGTGATTGACACATGAAAAAATATTCAGCCTTGCCCGAAATGTAAAAAATGCAAATTACACATTTCACAATTGCATAAATGCAAAAATCACTGTTTTAATCTATCAAATTAACAGAAATAAAAAGTGTATAATACTCAGTATTGGACAAGGATGGGGGAAATCGCTTTCCCAATACATTGCCGGGGGGGTGATATTTGTCATTATGAATAATGAATATTAAAAATGTTTACAGCTTTTGACCTATTTCCCAGAATATATCATCAGGAAATGTGTTAAGGAAATAAATCTAAGTATGGGCAGTGTTTTATGCACAGAGATTTTCATGGAAGTATTATTTATAGCATCATGTTTAATAATAAGGACATCATTTAAAAACTAGTGTACATTCAATGATGAAATTAACCGTTGGAAATTAAGTATATGAAATTTTCCAATAAAATGAGAAAACGTGGGAAAAATAGGATACAAAAGTGTGTGTATACAGTATAATCGCAACTGCAGGTAAAGACAAATGTGCATAGAATAACATGTTGGGTTTTTTGGGGCACCTGGGTGGCTCAGTTGGTTAGGCATCTGCCTTCAGCTCAGGTCATGATCCCAGCCAGGGTCCCGGGATCGAGCCCCACGTCAGACTCCTTGCTCAGCAGGGAGTCTGCTTCTCCCTCTTCCCCTCCCCCCCACTCATTCTCTCTCTCTCAAATAAATAAATAAAATCTTAAAAAAAACTTAAAAAAAAGAAACTAAAAACTTTTGTAAAAGAAAAAGAAAAACATGCTGTTTTTCTGTTGCTATTTTTCCAAGATAGAATATAAATTTTTTTTTTATGTTTTTCTACTTGTCTTTGCTTTCTGGATTTCCTATGAACCAATCCTCACTGCTTTCCCATGTGAACACAGAGCCGATGCCATAAAAACAAATCAAGTCCTGACACATACTACGACTTGGACGAACCTCGAAAACCTGAGGCTAAGTGAAGGAAGCCAGACACAAAAGGACATATTATATGAAACGTCCAGAAAAGGCAAATCCATAGAGACAGAAAGCAGATTAGTAGTCACCAGGGGCTCGGGAGGAGGAACTGGGACTGATTGCTCAGAGGCATGGGGTTTCTTTCTCGGGTGATGGAAATGTTCTGGAACTAAATGGTGGTGACGGTTGCACAACATAGTGATGATCCTAAAAAACACTGCACTGTACACTTTAAAATGGTGAATTTTGGGGCGTCTGGGTGGCTCAGATGGTTGAGCGACTGCCTTCAGCTCACGTCATGATCTCAGGGTCCTGGGATCGAGCCCCGCATCGGGCTCCTTGCTCAGCAGGGAGTCTGCTTCCCACTCTCCCTCTGCGCTCTCCCCCTGCTGTGCTCTCTCTCTCTCAAATGAATAAATAAAATCCTTTAAAAAAATAAATAAAATGGTGAATTTTAGGTTATGTGAATAATATCTCAAGTAAATACATAAATAAATAAAGGAAGTCTTGGTATTAAAAAAAAAGGAAACTGAAGTGAATGAAGGTTTTAGGTTAAGAGTTTAATAGAGTCCATATTCAAAGGGTCATCTCTTTGCATTCTCAAGGGAGCTCTCTTTTTCCTGGTAGGCCTCAGAGACCTCACAGGCTGGTGTATATGTCAGAGAAGAAGAGAGAAAATGAAGGAGAACGACCGAACATGGATTTTATTTTTAAGTAATCTCTACACCCAACATGGGACTTGAAATTACAACCCTGGGATGAAGAGTCGAACAATCTTCCAGCTGAGCCAGCCAGGCACCCCGGGATCAGAGAGGTTTTACAAATTATGAATGGTTATTGAAAATGAAAATGTAGGCTCAGTCGGTTAAGCGTCTGCCTTTGGCTCAGGTCATGATCCCAGGGTCCTGGGATCGAGCCCCGAATCGGGCTCCTTGCTCAGCAGGGAGCCTGCTTCTCCCTCTGCCTGCCGCTCCCCCTGCTTGTGCTCTCTCTCTGACAAATAAATAAAATCTTAAAAAAAAAAGAAAATGTAAAGTGATACTGTTTACAATAGAATCAAAAACATCAAATGCCTAGGAATAAATCTAACAAAAGATGTACAAGACCTATGTAGAAAACTACAAATGTTGAGAGAAATTAAATTCAAAAAGAATCTATCTTGCTCATTGTTTGAAAGATTCAATATTGTAAAGATGTGAAATTTCCCCCAAGTTGATCTATAAATTCAGTGCAATCTCAATTAAAATTTGAGCAAGTTTTTATTGTTTTGTTTTGTCTTGTTGTGTTTTAGAAATGAACAAGTTGAGGGCGCCTGGGTGGCTCAGTCGATTAAGCGTGTGCCTTTGGCTCAGGTCACGATCCCGGGGTCCTGGGATTGAACCCCACATCTGGCTCCTTGCTCGGCCAGGAGTCTGCTTCTCCCTCTCCCTCTGCCCCTCCCCACCTTGTGCTTTCTCTCTCTCAAATAAATAAAATCTTTAAAAAAAATGAAGAAGTTGATTCTAAAATGAATATGAAAACACAAAGGGCCAAGAATAGCCAAGAAATTTAGAGGGATGAAGGACAAAGCTGCAGGCTTTACATTAGTAGATATTGAGAAGTATGAGAAAGCTATAATAATAGGACAGTGTGGCATTGGCTCAAGAACAGACCAGTAGACCAATGGACCAGAATAGAGGTCAGAAACAAATCCACACATAACCGTGACGGTGAAGAGCTGGTGGGGGAAAGCTAGGTTTTTCAATAAATGGTGCTCGGTCTATGGGATATATTGTGAAAAACCAAAAGAATCTTGATTCCTATCTGATACTATATGGTTGGAAAAATTTATGCTTCCATGGAAAACCGCATTTTTGTAGCATAGCCTCTGGGTTATCTGATTGTGATTTTATGGCAACTATTTTATAACTCTGTAAATTGTAGATAGCTGATAGCAAAGCAGAATTCATGAAAATAAATTCTGTCTGGTGGAGGGACACCTTCCCCCCGCCATGGAAAAACTTATTTTGCCTCAATTTGCATATTTCGTTTCAATATTCCTGATCTATAAATGTGTCTGTTCTTTGGACCCACTTTTGAACAGGCCGAAACACCTTGCCAGTTTTTCTTCTTAGTAAGTTAAATAAATTTTTAATGGATTAGTTTTTATATCTGTACGAGAGTCATGATTTTATCTTTTAAAAAATTATCTTTTCTGCCGCTCTGCCTACTTGTGATCTCTCTCTCTCTCTCTCTGTCGAATAAATAAATAAAATCTTTTAAAAAATAAATAAAAAATTGTCTTTTAACAATTCATACAATTTTTAAAAAAGATTTTATTTATTTATTCGACAGAGAGAGAGACATCAAGAGAGGGAACACAAGCCCCAACAATTCATACAAATTAATTCCAGATGGATTGCTAACCTAAATGTGAAAGGTAAAGCAATAAAGTTTCTAGAAGATTATAAAGGAGAATATATTCATGACTTTGGGGCAACAAAGGTTTCTTTAAACATGGGGCACCTGGGTGTCTCAGTCGGTTAAGCATCTGCCTTCGGCTCAGGTCATGATCCCAGGGTCCTGGGATCGAGCCCCGCACCGGGCTCCCTGTGGAGCAGGGAGCCTGCTTCTCCCTCTGTCCCTCCCCCTACTTGTGCTCTCTTTCTCTCTCACAAATAAATAAATAAAATCTTAAAAAAAAAGATTTCTTAAACAGGACACAAAAGTACCAATCATAAAAGAAAAGACGAATAACTCAAATTTCATTAAAACTTAGTACTTTTCACCCAGGAACACCACGGAGACTGAAAAGGCAAGCCACAGAGTGGGAGAAGATATTTGCAATGCATTTTTGGACCAAGGTATTTAATATATATACATATATTATATATACACAATAGAATTCTTGAAATTATGTATTATATATAATATATATATATAAATATCACAAATCAATAAGAACATAGACAACAGAAAAGAAAAATGGACAAAAGACCCGATAGCACATCACAAAAGACCGTATCCAAACGGCCAATAAACAAGTGCCCAACCTCATTAGTCATCATGGAAATACAAATTAAAACTGCTGTACATCTACCTGAAGGGCAAAATACAAAAGATTGACAATGCCAAGGTTGACAAAAATGTGGAGAACCTGGATTTCTCCAACATCGCAGGTGGGAGTATAAATTGGTATAACTGCTTTGAAAAATTATTCGGCAATATCTCTTAGCACTAAACATATATCCAACCCGATTCAGTAATTCCATTCTTAGGTGTGTGCGTATGTTTATGGATATGTATATGTACAAAAAGACATAGGAGA